TCTGACTCGTTTGCCACTATCCCTGTTCGCTCTTCTCTGGTTCTCGAAAAAACACACCGGATTTTTTCTGTTCTCTTGTTCAGCACAGTGGAAAGCCTAATTTGAGCTCCATGTAGTCCCTTCTTCGCAGGACATCGAGTGCTAGCCTACGACATGTATCACGCCAGGGAAAGCTACCCTTATGCCTTCCTTTTATTTCCGATGGCATCAGCACTGAAATACGTCGCAGTATTGTTAGGGCACAATTACACGACGATGTTGTCTTGGTAAATATCCCCAACGCACATCAACGCCAACTTGTGCGCAACAGACTGTACGACAGACAGTGCTTGACACCAGACTGCGTTATCTGCCCATATGGGAAGTTAGGAGATTGCGGGAAAGCTGGAGTAATTTATCAGCTTGAATGTAGGGCGTGTAACAGCACGTATATCGGAGAAACAGGAAGGGTATTGGCTACACGCATTGGAGAACACCTAGCTGGGAAAAGGCGTGATATCATGACCACTCCCCTTGGCAAGCATAAGGTGGAGCAGCATAACGGGAACGACTTCGATGTTAAATGTGTTATACTGGCGTACGAGACGGAAACTTCAGCCAGGAAAGTTCTGGAGTCATTCTGGATTTTCGCGAGAAAACCAAGAATGAACAACCGAAATGAGTGTCTGGCTATTACAAATGAATTCCTGCCGTTTGTATCAGAGTGCGAGCTACAGTAAGGACTACGTGCGCTATAACAATTTTGACTTTTGCGACACAGTGAGACACAAGTGAGTCTCATTCGTCCTTACTGGTTCAACTAACCCACTGCGTGAGCTGAGCTCCGCACGGTGATACCTTCGGTGAGTTGTTAGGACTCATTACCGAGTTTTTGGGAAGCGTTTGGGAAACAAGGTCGGAAACGCTAGAGTGGGGAGGGCGTTTGGTCGGGTAGGTAACAAATTAAAAGCTTCGAGCCATTTTCAGGCCTCTGAAGAAGACGAGAAGGTCGAAACGTAAGGCCAATAAAGGTGTCATCTAAAAACCTCGTTTGGCAGAAGTAACTGAATATTCGCTAATTTGAGCGTTTTCAATTCTTTCTTTTGCTTTTTTTATTTACGAGCGAGTCAGTTGGCACGTGCACCTCTACGTCTAAGCCCGATATCAACGAAATTCCCTCTGGTGCATCGCGAGGTGGCTGACCGTTAACGATATTCGATGCGTCGGCCAAGAATGCCTAGTAGCATAGGGTAAATAACTCTAACTCTTAACGTCTTCGTTTCGCCATTTCCGCTATAAGAGCGGGTGGAAATGGCGAAGAACGGAGGATAAACGGGTTCAAAAGTCCTTGCCGCAAAGAATAAGCTTCCGTTATTCAATACTTTGAAAATCAATTTTGGGCCTTGTTTCCCATAATCGGTACCTAGCATACGATATGTTTGTGGCCCTTGATTTTAGGGCCCTTATAAGGACACCTTCCTGGAAAAGGTGCTATGCAGCGCCTGCTCAGGGTCGCGGAATTCTATCCTGCCAGAAGTATTGATCCTAGTCGTCTTGGGGGATTTATCGTGCCAACTGCCTTTAAGGGGAAACGTTGATAAGAGAGTTTAGATCAGCGTTGCGCCATACGCAATGTGCCCACTCGGTCCCTTATTAACAGCGCGGCGGAGTGTTAGAGTTCTACCATACTGTGGGAGACGCCTGCCAGCATAGGCTGATCACAAATTGAAGATGTCGTTCATTCCCGCAGGGGAGAAGCACAAATTTCTACGTATCACCGCAGCTTGGTCTTCTCTACCCATCTTTATTTCCTGCATATGAGCACTTTCCATTTTTGGAATAGCTGACACTACTGTCCTAGGTGAGTATGCCAAACTAGTACCCCCTGGGGTACAAGGAGCACCCGAGTATAGGGCGTAACTTACGCGCTCTGAACACCCCCAAAAAGAAGGCTTTATCCTCTAGGCTTACTTGTGCGTATACATTTTGTTTCGTTTAATTTATACTGAGGGTCAATACGAACAAATGTAGTACCCACTAAAGCAATCAAAGACTAGAAAGACAATAAAGAAAACTTAAATACGTTGTTACGTTTCTGAATTTTTGCCCAGCATCGTGAGATGCCAAATAAAGCGCCGGCATATCACATAAATTAGAGAGAGACAACTTAAACCCCAAAGGCAAAGTCACTAGGGAGAAGAAGGCAGCAAACTTAAACCGCTTTTCGATAAACGAGACATGACACCGGAGACAGGAAGCCCTCACCGATGATTACTTCCAAATATCTTGAAAATGTCGGAAATGTCCTTTTCTGCTCTGAAACTTCGCACTAAATTGACAATCCGACTTCGATGAGACTCTGTCAAACACTCCAGCGTCGCAGTAAAAAAAGCCAGTCTTGGCAGTTGCTCGCAACGCGTAAGATAATTCAATTTTGTATGACACTTCCAATGGTCTGTTTATGATAATGAGCTGTTGCGAATATTTTTAATTGACAGATTTCGAGGGTGGGAGGTTCACAGAAGTGGTTTGGCTTCCGTTTCGCAAGTAGTCCAGTGTGGGCAATGTGAGCTGAACAAATCGTGATATACTTCCACTGTGGTCACCAGACAGAAAAGGCACGGTGAAGTAAAAAATTGATGAGTGGTAATTTAATTTATCTGATCTGATATCCGTATTCCTTTGTTGATTGGATTCCAATGGTTTGGCCCACAAGTAATGGCATTATTTCACCAAGTCAAAACTTTGTGCAAAAGGAGAACATGTTTGCAGATGAAAATCACACTACTTATTAGAAAACCTCATACCTTGCAAGTAGCATGTTCGGTTTCAATGCTGGTTGAAATCTTGGACATTCTACTGCCATGAGAATGGAGAGCATAGTTGAGAAAATTGAGCGTTTTCCGCAGTAACTTTCCTTTCAGAGACAGCGCCGGCGATCAAAGACAGACCCTGCGCTTAAGGGATTCGTGATCGCCCTTCCATGTGCGAGTAGCCAGCCCCCAGACTTAGAGACTGTTCCACGGTCGCGACTCCACAGCGAGTGAGGAGGGTGTTACGGCCGCCGAAGTTCCAGTTCTTACACCCGCTCACTTTGACCGCCCACCCAACGAACTTCCTCTTGACACCTAACGCAGGGGCGCTCAGTTGTTGTTTGTTGGGGCGGCGGGCATAAATCGGAATAGCATGCCCATTTTTGCCGACCGCGCTCGTGCATGAGAATTTTACTCTCCTTTATCACATTTTCTTCAGGAACACATACAGTCGGCGCTGTTCGGCGACGGGGGAAGAGGGGGAGGGGCATTGTGCACTTTCGATACTTCCCATCGACGTGTCGACCTATCTAGACAGCCTCCTCCCGAGTTCGCAGCTTTACCAGAGTGAGACTAGTCGGAACTAGTGAAGCAACGAAAGTGCAAAATGCCCCCCCCCATCGCCGAACTGCGCCCATACAGTCAACAGCAATCCATCAAGGTAAGACAAATTCAATTCCCCAGTGATGCAGTTGGTCTTTGGCACTGAACAATTTTGAAAGCACTTAAACTCTATTTCAATAACCATCTGAAGCTAGCAAACTGGAACCA